TTGCCCTTTAGTGCTTAGATGGCACCAGGAATAGGGGGAATAGGGAATAGAAGGAGGAATAGGAGTAAATAACTTTCCCTGTTGTGCCTTTGTGGGCACCCCTTACCCCTAAGAAAATCCCTATCCTGTTGGAAAATGCTTGTCACATCAACCATCCATGTAATGAAAAGACTGAATAAAACCTAAATTCCCTTGGCGCCACCCAAATAAATTATTGCCGTGCCAAAAAGATCAACTTAATATTAGATATTTTAACATTTGTATAAGGTAATTTGAGAACATAAATAATTAGTATAAGAAAAGCATGCTCATGTTTACGTACGGATATCATTTACAAAAAAAATCTATATTTTATCAACTTTATTATTATTTACAAGTAGAATGTCTGGCCCATTATGATATGAAAAATGTAAAAAGAAAAATTTGAGTGGAGGCACTCGGTGTCTGCCCTTTCTGAAACCTTGATTAAGACACGTTGATTTGGTCAGTTCTACAAATTTAGCTCAGACATGACCTAATTTTATGCTTGATTCTACCTAATGAATTGATATTTTTCTACATTTCATTTTATTTAAATCCACCTTTGTGAACTACTATGCTGTATGTAAACATTAGATGATATTCTGTTTGGAAGTATTCATCAAAACAATGGTTAAATATGATCTAGCTAATGGAAAGTCCGAAAATTACTCCACAGTATACAGTGTTTGACAAATGTAATCATAACATATTTTATATTGCATAAAGCCACTAGGTTTTCTAACAAAAATATTCATTCTCCTTTTTCAAAATACACCTTTTATCTTGGTTCCTGTTACGCAGATCTTACGTAGGTTTCCTCCACATCCATCTACTCAGCTTTGAGGGGTTAGTGGTGTCATCCGTTTTCTAATCTTTTACATTTATGAAATAATCCAGGTACCTCTATTATATTTGGATCCATTGTGACATCACTTTTTGAATGTATCCATAGCTACACTGTAACAAAATAGAGTAGGCTAGGCAGGGTAGCATAATGTTTAATGTATGGTTTTACGAAGGGATTTGAGACTGAATTCTAGATGATGTGATACAACTGCAAGCACATTTAAATGTTGACTATACAGAATTATGATTTAGCAAATCCAACATGTCAAACTCAAAGTCTAGCACAGGCCACATAAACAAGGTTTAAGCTTATGTGGGTCACAAAAAAAAACCTTACATTTTCATAGAAACTTAGGTTTATTTTGAAAATTACAGTATTAAAAAAAAAAGCAGCATCCCCCTCTACTAAACCACAGCACCCCCCTATACTAAATCCCATTCCCTCCAATATACTAAATCCCAGTCCCCCACCTCTACTAAATCCCAGTCCCCCACCTCTACTAAATCCCAGTCCCCCCTCTACTAAATCCCAGTCCCCCATATACTAAATCCCAGTCCCCCCATATACTAAATCCCAGTCATCCCCCTCTACTAAATCCCAGTCCCCCCTCTACTAAATCCCAATCCCCCATATACTAAATCCCAGTCCCCCCATATACTAAATCCCAGTCATCCCCCCCATATACTAAATCCCAGTCCTCCCCCTCTACTAAATCCCAGCCCCCCTTATAAATGATTTATAACATTTACAACTTTACACAGTACATTTATATAGTAACTATTTATTACAAATACACATTAACCACTTTTTTTTTTTTTAGGGTTTACCCTACATGTTGCTTATTATTTGATTTGTAAGATTTACTTAGTCACATCTAGGTTGAAAAAAGACTAAAGTCCATTAAGTTCAATTTCTTATAATTCCCCCAAATGGATACAAAAAAGAGACAAGTTACTTCACAAGTTACATCTGTCTCCTCGCAATCTTTGTTTATGCATCCCAGAATTGGTAACGTGTAACTGCAGAACAGGTGTTATGGGATACTCTACTTAGAAAGGATGAAACTTAGCACCTTAGCACCTGTACAATATGGTTACCATATTTGTAATTTTTGCCTTTATGGCAATGGCATTGTGGTCTTATGTAAATAAGGAATATAATTGAAAATGTATATGATAGAAGGAGGGGGTAGGTGCGATCTCAGAGGTAGAAATAGTCCTGGTGATAGCTAAATATATAAAAAAGAAAGAATACAACAAACTATAGTGTAGTATATTCTGTATAAAAATAGTAGGAGTAAAAAAAAAGTGCACTTACTGAGTGTAGAGCTCAAATAGCTCTACATTTTAGCACCTGTGCGGTCTGATCCCTGTCTAAGGATGACTGGTCTCTTCTTCAACAAGATGCTTAGGTGCATGGTGACCTGAGAAAGGCAGGTTAGCTCAGGGTGGAATATGTATAGTGTAAACTGCTAAAAACCATAAAATATTAAAATAAGGTAGGAGAGGTACTCACAGAGGGAGAGCAAAAGCATGGTTTTGCTCAATCCACAGCACTTAGGTGTTTTGCTCCCCACCACGGAGAAATGTATCTTGTTCTTACACTTGTTCTTACTCTGAACTATTTTATACAGAATATACTACACTATATTTTGTATTTTTTCGCTGTTATATATTGAACTACCATGGTGACTACTTCTACCTCTAGGTCACACCAAGACAGTACCCAGTCCTTCTACCATACAATTATCCTTTGTACTGGAACAGAAAGACTCTGGTTTGGGTGTTTGAGCTGCTTTTAACTATACGCGCTAGAAACCTATATTGTAAATTTAAAATAAATACTCTTTAAAAATTTAACTAACATAGTATAATTACAGTTGTGTTCCCTTTAAAGTGAACTATGTAATTTTTGCATGTTAGGTACAATGATCAAGCACAAAACAAATTTTTATTAGAATATTTTTCTTATTCTGTAGGGTATTGCCAGATATGTCTTTCATGTATGCTAAAAGCACTGGTATTTTTTTTCCATTTCTATCAAGAATGGCTGTAAATTTTAAACTATAAACACTTAGGATGGCTGTTTCTCATGCGCAAGACAGTTTGTTGAAAAACTTGAAAAAAATGCGCACTTTTCAGAGAAGGCTTGATAAGAATTGTAAGCTGTGTTTTGTTATTATAAAATAGGGCAAGCATAACATACTAATGTCTAACATTCCCACTTCAGTTATCTTTAAAAAATGAAAATAAAAGTACCCCAACTTTATAGGATTATATATACTGTAAATCATAAAAGGGTTCTGTAGGTATTTACCCATTTGCTAAATAGTGAATTATAGCAAGCAGACAACATACCAGCAAGATTTTGGCAATAAATCAGAAAAAAATATTCTCTAATGTTAGTTTTATCAAACTTTTCAGTATAACATTTTTAGATTAGTTTTGAACTTCAACAGGTGGTTTATACTGAGTGGGTTATTAAAGGACCACTATAGTGCCAGGAAAACAAACTCGTTTTCCCCGGCACTATACGATCATTAGGTCCCTCTCCCGCTGGGCTGAAGGGGTTAAAACCCCTTCAGCCATTTACCTTTCTCCAGCGCCGGGCTCCCTCTGCGCTGGTGAAAGCATTACTCAATGCTTTCCTATGGACATCCAGCGTTGTCTTACTGTGATTTGAGCTGAAGTGGTCTGGGTGCCTATAGTGGTCCTTTAAAGGGACACTATAGTCACCTGAACAACTACAGCTTAATGTAGTTGTTCAGGTGAGATCTATAGCTCCCTGCAGGCAATCTAATGTAAACACTGTTTACATTGATTGATAGGAATACCTCCAGTGGCCGTCATTCAGACAGCCACCAGAGGGTCTTCCTATCATGCAGGGCCCTAAAATACGTCTGACATGTGCAAGAGAGAGAAGGCACTTCTCTCTTCTGCCTGTCAACAGAGAAGGGGGGGCGGGCAAAGACTGCGAGCTGAGCTGTCAGTCAGCTCAGCTCGCGGCCGCACCTAGGGGGAGCTGTACTCTAGGTCCCAGAGGACAGCCCGCGAGGCTGGGTACTTGAGATAGGCCCTGGACTTACGTCGAGCCTTCTTGCCCATTTTTGGGTACAAGAAAGGTACGGGCGTGATGCTCACCCTCCGCGGGGAAGTTTGTCCCGGTGGCGCTGTGGTGCTGTGACGCAGGTAAGCTATCGTGTGTGTGGATCTTTGTTGGATGGCGTCCATTCGGCTCCAGCGCTAAGCTCTGCCCCCTCCTTGCTTTTCATTTTATGTTGGCTCAGTGACCCCACATTCCTTCAGTGAAACTCACCCTTTATATCAAATTAAAGGAACATACTAACAATATGAATACATATTCATAAATAAGAAAAAAAGGTTAACTATTGGATTATTTGGGATCCAACAAGGAATTGAAATAAGAAGATCCACTCACCATTGTGCCGGAGCCATCCTGGTCTGCCATGGCAACCACTTCACGTGCTGTGAGATCACCAATTATGATGATTTCAGGCCATGCCAATGCATCTAATAGCACTGTAAAGAAGCAGTGACAGCAACTGGCAAGAGAGACCTGGTAGGATTCAGTGGAGAGTGACAGCACTTGGTTCTTCACACATATTTTTTAATGCTTAATTCACCACCAAATATCATTAAAGGTACTCTCCAGGCAGCAGTTTTTACTCACCTGGTTCCAGCGCTGGGTGCCTCGTGAAGCCGCGCCCCCTATTTCATCAAAATTACGAAATAGGCGGGCGCGAGCAGGGAGCAATCAGACGCTTCCATTTGGAAGCATCATTGCTCCCTTGTGCGCATGCGTGGCTTCACCGCACATGCACACATACTTCAGAGGGCGGCATTCATGCTGTGCATGCTGGCATCCGGCAACAAATTTGCATAGAATTCACATTAGCCACTCAGATTTCTTGTTATGGGCTGGCTGACACCTCTTAACTTCGATCTCTGTTTATCAGATAACTCCCCTATTTGCTATCCTTATGTGGGATTGCCATATTTAAGGACACCTAATAAGGGAACTACCTGCTAAACAGCCCCCTAATTTTGTATCTTTAAATATGGAAATCTGGGGGAATTGAGAAACAACCTTCCCCACAACACTGCTTGAAGAAATGGCAGAAAGGGATCCTCTAGCCCCAGCCACTAGACAAGACATCCCTAACCTCCTGAGAGAGCTCAGACAGATGTCAGCAGCAGATGTGGACATAGTCCGAACTGAGGTACAGATAGTCACAGTGTGCACACAAGCCACCGAAGTGGAGGTCACGGACATCAAGCAGGAGGTACAAGTGCTGAAGGAGCAAATGCTCAACATGCAACACTCTCATGCCACTCTAACGCAACAAGTAGATATCAGCAAAGACCGCAAAAGACGCACCAATATTAAAATTCGAGGCATTCCAGACTCAGATGGCCATGCCTAATCCTACCTCACTCCCAAGCAAAAAAAGCTCCTATTTGATGGCTGCTACCAAATTACCAAGTCGCAACATGCCCCGACTGAGGCCACCCGGGACATTATAGTAAGATGTCACTCTTTATTGTACAAGAACCGATTCATGACAGCAATTCGAGTTAAAACTCCATATGAATTTGAGGCATCCAAGCTCACTTTCTATCAAGACCTCACTAGGAACATGCTGCAATGGTGGAGATCCCTCGGAGCCAGGGCCGGATTAACATAGGGGCTGATGGAGCTGCAGCTCCAGGCCCAGGCCCATGGAATAGGCCCATTGATTTAAAAAAAAAAAATAATAATTTTTTTTTTTTTTTTTTTTTTACAGTTTTTTTTTCCACACACTAATCTTAGGGATTCCAACTGGCTTTTATTTTATTGGCACAGCCAGTATTTGAGGCTGCCTGGCTGGTGCCAATATTGCAGTGATACTGGCAATATAAATGCTGGTATTTTTCTCAGTATAAATGGAAATTACTATGCAATACCAGCACTGGCCAGTAGGGGTCGCTGTATGTGGAGACAGGCAGGGATAGGAAATTCCAGCATATCCCTCCCTGCCTATCTATACTCACTGATCTGCAGGGGTGCAGCTACAGAGAGTCCAGACAGCAACTCCCACCCTGCAGAGACAGCCTACAGCTCAGGGAAGTAAGGGATGGGGGGAAAGGCAGCAGGGAGACATACACTGAGACACTAAGGGACATTGGGAGACATTATGGCAGACACTGAGACACTAAGGGACATTGGGAGACATTATGACACAGACACATGGGGACACAGTGTCCCCATGTCTCCCAGCCAGTGTCCCTGGTGTCTCAGTGCCTCTAGTCTCCCAGTGACCCCTAGTCTTCCAGTGACCCCTACTCTCCCAGTGCCCCCAGTCTGCCAGTGTCTCACTGTCCCCATGTCTCCTAGTGCCTCCATGTCTCTCAGTGCCTCAAGTGTCACAATGTCACCAAGCTAGTGTCCCTAGTGTCTGTGGCCCTGGTATCTCAGTGTCCCCATGTCTCCCAGTGCCCCCATGTCTCAATGTCCCCATGTCCCCCAGCCAGTGTCTCTAGTATCTTTGTCCCTGGTGTCTGTGATCCCATGTCTTCAAGTGTCCCCTATTTTCCCATTGTCCCCATGTGTCCCAGCCAGAGTCCCCTAGTCTCCCAGTGTCACTGGTGTCTCCGTGTCCCTAGGTCTCCCCAGGTCTCCCCGTCTTCCTAGTGTCCTAGTGACATGGGGACCCTGGGATACATGGGGACACAGGGAGACATAGGGCATTGAGACACTGATACATAGGATCACTGGGAGACATGGGGACACGACACTTAGGGACACTGGGAGACATGGGGCACTGAGACACTGATACATAGGAACACTGAGACCTGGAGTAATCGACATATGGGGGCACTGAGTCATGGGGGCACTGGGAGGAATCCATCTTTACAGCAGATTTAAACTAAATAGTTTTTGGGTGATTTTACAGCATTTTCTCTTATGTCACTCCTTGTGATTTACATCATGTGATGTTACCCACACATAAATTAGTAAGGCCGGTATGTTTTTCCAAGAAAGGTGGCAACCCTAACTACTTTTCACATACTCTTACTTAAGTATGGAAACTTAAGAGGGATGTAAACTTGTGTGGACTGGCTGACAATGAATATAGTTAAAGGGACACTATAGTCACCAGAACAACTACAGCTTATTGAATTTGTTCTGGTGAGTAGAATCATTACCATCAGCTTTTTGCTGTAAGCATGGTCTTTTCAGAGAAAATGCTGTGTTTACATTACATCCTAGTGATAACTTCACTGGCCACTCCTTAGATGACTGTTAGAGATCCTTCCTGGGTCATGGCTGCCTAAAATGCATCCAAACATTCAGTGTCTCCTCCCTCTGCATGCAGACACTGAACTTTCCTCATAGAGATTCATTAATTAAATTCATCTATATAAGGAGATGCTGATTGGCCAGGGCTGTGTTAGAATCTTGCTGGCTCTGACCCTGATCTGCCTCTTTGTCAGTCTCAGCCAATCCTATGGGGAAGTACTGTGATTGGATCAGGCCACCACTTCTAATGATGTCAGCAGACTGCTTGTTTTTATGAGTCTAACAGCATGCAGAGTTACAGCTTCAGGCTTGAATATAGTAGGATTTTGCTATATTTATGGAGGCATGAGGGGCCCAGGGGGGCTAGATGGTGGTGTTAACACTATAGGGTCATGAATTCATGCTTGTGGTAATGCTGACTTTGGTCTCTCTAACACGGTGGCATGTTCCCTTTCTTCTACACTCACTACATACAGCTTTTCTCTGTCCCGGACCATATACCAGGAGCTTCTGCCTGCTAGTAAGAAGGTAAGGAGACAAGTGGACCAGCGAGTGCTAGGGGACAGTCCTTAGAAAGCGTTGAGTGAGCGCATCATTAGATGCATTTATGCCAAGCTCAGGGTGCTGTCTGCATAGTATGCCCTTAATTGCCCAGCTGCATGATTGGCAGGCAGCCTGACATGCATTCATGCCAGGCTGGTCTTCTAATTCTTTGAGCACACATGTCCTCTTTTTGGGCATGTTCGCCCCTTTTGGCAGGTTATGTGATTTGTGTCAGTGGCACACCCTTTTACTATGCCTATTGACTTCCTACTTGACTGGACACTCTGTTAGGGGTTATGGATTTACTTGAAAGATGAAAACATAAATTAGTGAGAGATTAGCCTAGGGTATGTGTTTTCTTATAGCTGCTGTTTTCTTTCTCTCCAGCACCATCTCCATCAGATACATGATGCTTGGGAGTGTTTTACTGTTTTTGGTCGATATGATTCTGTAATTAGGCCCGTCATAATTGTCAGCACCAGGCCCACTGGGCTCTTAATCTGGCCCTGCTCGGAGCCATCACAGGCCAGCTGAGAGAGACCGGTGTGGAATACTGCTGGACTTTACCAAGATCCATTATGGCTACTACTACTGATGGTAGAGTGCTGAAACTCACCTCTATAACAGACACCACTACTTTCCTCCAAACACTAGGGATAACTCCAAACACAGACACGCCAAATGCTACCCTCAATACTCACGTCTGGGTTCGAATGGCTGGGCCCACCCTTCCAGGCTGGTGGTGGAGAGAAACCCGGAGCGGCAACCTGAACAACTTTAGGAGCCAAGCATTATGTTTTTATCATTATATTATTATGTTTTCTTGTTGATACAGCCTTTTTTTGCTCGATGTCCACATCACAGCTTACAGGCAGCGGTCAGTTTACTGCCTAACGGCACACAGTTTTAGTTTATGGGATCACTTTGATCCAGGATGGCGCCTATTGGCCATGACAGCTCCCTAGATTCCTGAAAATATCTCCTATTTTTGCCCCAGTCACTCCTCCCAGCTTACGCAGAGCGCCACAGGGGAGGAAGGAGAGGAGGGAGTCAAAATGGGAACTTTGACTCCCATCAGCCCGAGCCACCACTGGACACCAGGGAAAGTCACACTCCTGCACATAAAAGGTAGGAAACAGGAAGATGACTAATGTATGTGTGTGTATGTGTGTCACTGTATGTGTGTGTGTGTGTCTCTGTATGTGTGTGTGTCTCTGTATGTATGTATGCGTGTCTCTGTGTGTGTGTGTATTTATGTCTCTATGTATGTATGTATGTGTGTATGTCTCTGTATGCGTGTGTGTCACTGCATGTATGTATGTGTGTCTCTGTATCTATGTGTGTCTGTGTGTGTATGTATGTGTGTCTGTATGTATGTATGTGTCTGTATGTGTATCTATTTGGCTGCATGTGTATCTGTATGTCTGCGTATCTGTATGCCATTGTGTGCCCTGTGTATCTATATGTGTGTCACTGTTTGTATCTGTATGAGTGTCATTCTGTGTATTTGAATGTTTATCATTAAGTGTTTATGTATCTGGATGTGTGTCTGCATGTATATATGTACCTTTGCATTAGTTTGTGTGTCTGTATTTGCATGTATGTCAGTGTGTGTGTGTGTGTGTGTGTATGTGTGTCTGTATCAGCATGTGTGGCTGTGTATGTATCTGTATGTGTTATATGGTGTGTATTTGCCTGCATGTCAGTGTATGTTTGTTTGTATATCTGCATGTGCAAAGGGTATCTGCACCCAACAAGACATGTCTTTAAAACGAATCCTAAAAAACAGTTCTATTTATACCATACATGCAATAAAAAAGGCTAACTTTGCTGATTGATCCCACTGATCCCACTGTTGATAATGCAAAATTCATTATTGTTATTTCTGCATTCCTTGTGTCTACTATATACTCATGGTAATTCCTCACTAAAACAAATATTGAAAGAAAAAAAAAGAAAAGCAAGGCATGTGAAATAAACAACATAATATTAAAAGAAATTGAGTTGCGGAAATTAAATGAAGGAGAGGGATATGAAAGACAGTAAAAAGTAAAACAAAAATGAGTGGAAATGAAAAGGTAGTATATGAAATAAAAAAGAAGCAGTTAAATGAAAAGAAAGCACTATGGGACAAACGAGAGGGCATGAAATGAAAAGGGATCTAAGACAAATTGTGGGAGATCTGCCTGTAGGACCTTGTTGATGTCAGGGTCCCGCGGGCGGCTGCGAGGGGAGGCTGCAGTCCGCTCGCGGCACTCACCCTCCAGCCGTCCGCGGTCCCCCTTCAGCCGTGTGCTCGGCGGGCGGCACCCTCTCTCCCACGGGTGCCGTCCGCCTCTTCCTCTGTGTCTCCCAGCGGCAGCATGCATGACGCTGCACGCTGGGAGACCGCCCACTTTAACCAACGCCGGGGTCAGTCACCTGACCCGGCGTTAAAGGCACAGTGCCTCAATCACAGTGGGAGGTTTAGATATCTCCCACGTGTGATTGTTAATTCTGATTGGAAATTATCCAATCAGAATTAACCTTTGGATTTATATACTTACCTTTCCTGTTCCTCTTCGCCCTGTTGTGGTCTTTGCTTGTTAGTATTGATTCTGA